ATATACTGCTTGCCCGCTTTAGGAGTTTTCTTGTCAGTTTAAACAGACGTATATATGTCTCTGGTTTAGAGTGGGTTTATGAATGAATGATAAGTCTTACAAAGGTACAAGATATCAAGCACATTGAAAATTGATTTCGCCGTTCTGTCACCATTTAAAAAAGGAAAGTTGACGTTAGATTGATTCTGTTAATTTTTTTTAAACATCGTTGGTCAAATAGCTTAAGAATTATATAAATACGTTGTGAGATTTATAATATTTTAATAAGGGCATTTCTGATTAGGTAAATGAAGATCGCTTTGGACGACAAAACTATATTTTTGTAACTGATAATTTTCTCTGCACATTTAAATATTCAAGGTTACCGATGATAATTTAAAATAGTACTGTTTTGATTTATACGCTCGTTTTCGTGGGCCATTTATAATATTTATATAATTATTTTATTAAAAGTGATTCAGAATTTCGATGTTACAACAAAATACTCACCTATTTATTTAAAAACTGAGCAAATGCAAAATGTTAAAAAAATATATATATAACGGCGATTAAGGTATTTTGCCACCATATTCCTCCCTTAATAATTAAAAAAAATCTGTCTCATACCTGCAACGGTGAATCCTTGAGGACAAACACCACTCTAGTGAAGATCAAAGGATTAAAATTACATAATGCTAATCTTTTAATTACCATGAATTTAATCACGCCTTTACCAGGTGGTGTCAGCATAATACACATGCATTGTATTTACACAGTACTAGACTGAAGTAAGGATATGTATAGTAAGACAAATCCTCGACTGAAGTAATAGGGGGAATACAAACGTGAATTTCTATTATACTATCAGTTATATATGTTGTTCAAAATATCCGTCGAAAAAAAATCATAAAAAAATTCTATTGTATGATTTGCTTTTATTACTATAATCAGAGACATATTGTATTATATGTCTCTGCTATAATCATATCAGAAATCCTTAAAATATAAATCGTAAATTTTAATTTAAAAAAATGCACGGCTGATCACTTTTCTTTCTCAATTGTTAGTTGGTTAATAGCTACACCAAAAGTCGTTGATGCGCTTTAAATCGCGTTATTAGATGATTAACGAAAAAGACTTTAAATGAGATTAATCCACTCCCGGCATGCAAAAAGACTTAAACTACGTCACATAAGTCAGGAAGTTTGAATAAATAGAATTAATAATTCCCAATTTTCTTCTTTATTAGTTTTCATATCCAGATAAAACTTGGTGAATATGTTTTTAATGGTATTATGAACATAATAAGATGATAAGTAAAAAATCGCGAATTTTCCCTTTAAGTAATAACTTTAATTTCAAATTCTTTTTTTCCGAAATGGATGTAAATGTAGGAAATTAATTTTGACGACTGTCGTTTGTAATTGCGTCGATTTTCGTTTTTGCCATGTTTTTGTTGGTTTTTCTTCAACTTGCACATTTTGAGTATCTCTTTTAAGTCATCCATCTATCTTGTTTTTTTTTTGTTTTTTTTTTTACATATATGAAAAAGATCCATTTAAACTGAAACCGTAAGGAATTGTAAAAGACAGACAAAAAATGAAAACAACACATTAAATAATTTCAAACGCCCGAAGCGCTTTTCTGGATTTAACTTCATCAGGAACACTAAAAGCCGAACATATAAAAGCCATAAATTAATAAATCGAAAACAAACTGATACATGGATAAATAACACGAAAACGACGAAAAGAAAAACAAACTTATACAACAATACTTTACATGTGGTGATATATGACTGTTTTGAAAAAAATGAAAACAACACGCTATTAATTTCATGCGTGCGAAGCGCTTTGTTGGATTTACTTTCATCAGGAACGCTCAAAGCCGAATATTTGAAAGCCGAGGATGTTGAAAATTATATAAAAACAAAGCAATACGAATAGAAGAAAAGAGTTTGATTTAATGTTATCACTCACTGGTGAAGGGAATGGAGAAGGGCGGTTCTGATACATTTAATTTGGTACGTTCTATTTAATTGACTATCACTGAGTTTATTAAGCTGGTCCTCGATTGACTACTACACTTTGTTCATAGACAGCCGGTCAGAGCCGTTCTATTGTAGAATCTGATTAGTCAAGAGACTTGTTTTCAATCTCCTATATTAGAGGTGAAGAATACATACAGATACATATTCGTCCAATCAAATTACGCGTACTTAACATGGAGAAATACATAACTTTCACATTCGTGCATTTCCCGATTTTTTTAATTTTCACAATACTTATGTTATTACGTCACAATGAGAGCCGAATGTTCAATTGCGCCATTTACATCGATGCGTTGCCATGTAACAACGAAACGTCAAATCTCGTTAAAATCTCGAGGGCAAAATTGTGCCTCCCACATTGGGCCGTACCGGCTGTCTATGAACAAAGTGTAGTAGTCAGCCGAGGACCAGCTTATGAGTTTATGCCACAGCTGGTACATGTAACGTCATAGTAACCAATTTGCACCGAGTACCCAAATTGCACCCGTTCAGCAAAAGATATGAGCGGAAATCTTTCTTAGAGACTAAACAATTTGTATATTCATGATTTGACATTATATACGTCTTTCAACACAGCTAAATATATTTAAAATCTACACAAAACGGTCAAAGTATTTATCAACAGATGGAGTATTCAGTGGAAAAAGTATAATCTACAAAAACGTCGGGTCCACAAAGAGTAAACTTTTCAACAACAAAAATTGAGCAACCAAAATTTGTCACAGGCATCCATTTCTAAACAAGAGGTTCTCAAGAGCCTGAATCGCTCACCTTTAATTTTTTGCTTAAATCTTTCATCAATGACTATTTTTGCTTTTCATTATATATTAATGAGTGGTTTAAAAATGCCATTAAAATGTTCTTTGTATCTGTCATATTTTCTTCAAAAGCAAAAAAAAATGCATTTTACCCCAGGACCTATGTTCCATTTTAGCCATAGTGGCTATGTTTCTTGACGCACAAGGAAATAAAAAAAAAAAATTATACTAGATACTCTGAAACCCATTCAACCCAAGTTTGGCCGAAATTGATTCAGCAGTTTCAAAGGAGAAGATTTTTCAAAGTAAGCAAACTAGATGAACAAATTGTGAAAAATTGTCTTTAAAGGGCAATAACTCCTTAAGCGGTCAATTGACAATTTTGGTCATATTAAACTTATTTGTAGATCTTACTTTGCTGAACATTTTTGCTGTTTACAGTTTATCTTTATCTTTAATAATAGTCAAGATAATAACCAAAAACTGCAAAATTTCCTAAAAACTACCAACTTAGTGGCAGCAACCCAACAATGGGTTGTAAGATTCATCTGAAAATTTCAAGCTGATAGAACTTGACCTAATGAACATTTTTACCTCATGTCAAATATAGATTTGCTCTAAATGCTTTCGTTTTTGAGATACAAGCCAAAAACTGCATTTTACCCCTGTGTTCTATTTTTAGCCATGACGGCCATGTTTTTGACGAAACAGAAAATAAAACACAAACTTTATTCTAGATACCCTAAGGATCATTCAGCTTAAGTTTGGTTGGAATTGGTTCAGTTGTTTCAGAGGCGAAGATTTTTGAAATAGTTTACACCGGACGGACGACGGACGACGGCGGACGCCAAGTGATGGCAAAAGCTCACATTTCCTTTTAGGAAAGGTGAGCTGAAAAATGAATAGTTAGCATGCACTATTGCCAAGTTGTTCATAATATTTGAAGAAATAAAACAAAACATTAGTTATCAAATTTTTACGTATGTGAATTTAAGCATGGATGCAATTTGGGTTCTCCTCATTTCAAAATCTTAATTCGTTTGGAAGTCGGTTCAAACCCATTTATTTTGATTCATTATCGATAAAACATTAAATTGATGAAACTATGGAGTAAAAAAGGATAGTTACATCTAAAAAATGAACACTGAAGGAAAACTTTTGCCTGGATCATAAATAAACGTGGGCGACAAAACTGTGAAAATAGGTGCTATTTGGGTACCCTCAAGTTAGATGTTATCTTTAAATTTGACTTCTTTATACCATAACTGATCGATGTTATACTTGACAACCACTCAGTGGCTTCCACTGGGTCGATACCACAGCTGTTAGATGATAAACTTGGCATCCACTGATCGAAACCACAGCTGTTAGATGATAAACTAGGCTACCAATAAGTTATAACCACAGCTGTTAAATGATAAACTTAGCTTCCACTGGGTCGGTACCACAGCTGTTAGATGATAAACTTGGCATTCACTGGGTCGATACCACAGTTGGTTGATGAGAAACTTGGATTCCACTGGGTCGATAACACAGAAGTTAGATGATAAACTTGGCATCCACTGGGTCGATAACACAGTTGGTTGATGATAAACTACGCTTCCACAAGATCGATAACACAGCTGGTAGTTGAGAAACGTGGATTTCACTGGGTCTATACCACAGCTGTTAGATGATAAACTTGGCCTCAACTGGGTCGAAACCACAGCTGTTAAATGATAAACTTGGCCTCCACTGGATCGATACCATACTGTTAGATGATAAAATTGGCTTCCACTAGGTCGATAGGTCGATACCACAGCTGTTAGATGATAAACTTGGCTTCCACAGGGTCGATACCACAGCTGTTAGATGATACACTTGGCCTCCACTGGGTCGATATCACAGTTGGTAGATATGATTATACCTGACACCAACTAGTTCGATAACACAGTTGGTAGATGTGATTATACCTCACTAAAACCAGGTTGATTCCACAGTTGGAAGATATGATTATACTTGACAAATACTTGGTCGATGCCACAGCTGGAAGATGTGAGTATACCTCTCTAAAACAAGGTCGATACCACAGTCGGTAGATGTGATTATACTTGAAAAATACTTAGTCGATACCACAGCTGGAAAATATAAGAATTGTAAAATGAAAGGACTATTTTGAAATTGCTCACAAAAATTAGATTTTTTCTATGATTACATGTACTTTTTTATTCCAGGAAACATGTGGGGATATCAAGATGGTATACGTAAGTTGCATGTTCATTTGTAGACATAAAAAGATCTTAAGCATGATGTTTGAATTTGATGATACGATATGATATTGACATTGAAAGAAATACCATAACTATGACTCCAGTTAGGAATAAGCCTCTAATCCCAACGCTTCGAATGATAAATTAGATCTGAAATGTTTATTTTATTTAATAGTTAAATACTTACTTTATCTCATTTTGGGGTCTCGGTGGCCGAGTGGTCTAAGTAGTCCAACTATTGTATCACTAGCCTGTCAACACTGCGATTGGGAGTTCGAATCCTGCACGTGGTAGGTGAGTTCAACTCCAATATTAATTGATTAGGATTGTCAGTTTTTCCTACCGAAGGTATGTGGTTCTTTTTAGGCACTCCTTCACTGATAAAAACTGACCGCCACGAAAAAGCCAATAGTGTTGGAAGTGGCGTTAAACACCAAACAATCAATCAATCAATCAGTATCTCATTTATTTTTTAGAATTACGTTAGTTTACTAGATTTTTGTTGCCTTCTTCTCAAATTTCAAAGATTTCACTAATCCAAAAATTTATGTGACGAAAAAAATTACACATTATAGAAGTATCCTGAGTTTCTTTGTTTATTGGCAGTATATTTTACCTATTAGGTATGTTTGTTTGGCTCACACTTTTTTGTCAATATAATGGAATTTTATGCGACTGTCATACAAGTGAGAGGTTTAGCCAGCTATAAAACCAGGGTTAATCCACCATTTTCTACATAAGGAAATGCTAGTATGACAGTTGTTTTCCATTCATTTGATGTGTTTGAGCTTTTGATTTTGGCATTTTATAAAGGACTTTCCGTTTTGAATACATACTTGGAGTTCGGTATTTTTGTTTTTGCTTTTTTGGTTTTTTTTTTGCACGTATTTTCTTTTATCTTGTGTGTTTCACTCATATTTCACCGCTGTCGGGGTATCTCCTTTTTACCATCTCTAAACAGGTAAAATAGCTACGGATGTATCACCGACGTTTTGAAATACGTCTGTAAAACATCCGTATCACGGACGCTTTACGGAGAAATAGTACCACGTCTGAAAAACGGTTCTTAAACATCCGTATTACGGCAGTAAAAGCACATGTTTTATTTTCATTAAAAAAAGCATTATAAAATATTTGCCTTATACATTTCTTTCATTGTACCATTAAGAAACTGATACATCAACGTGAAAAAATGGTTTAAAAGAAATAAAATGTTTTGATTTATCAGAAAGTTAAAGTTTTTGACATCCCGTCATGAATTAAAGATATACAGCCTTAAGTTTTTATGTTACTGGTTTGATGTTTCATAGTAAAGGTGCCATGCATGATGTATCTATGAAGGTCAATACAAGTAAATGTCATATATATAGAGAGAGAGCGATATGCGTAAATCGCATGATCTGCAGATATACTTTTCAGAGTATTTTAATAGGTGTATCACATATTGTAAATAGTGTGCACTCAAGAAATACATGAAAAAAGTGTGCTCAAATCCTGATATATATATATCACATTTATATTAAACTGAAAGGCATGTTTTACATATACATGACATACTACATGTACAATGCATATGGCAAATATATGCATTACGTAAAGAAGGTTTTGCATCGTTCAGACAGCAACCCAATGACAAAAAAAAAACCAAAGAAACATCATACACAGGGCAATATACAGTCTTCAATATAGACATGTATTTATACAATATGCCAATTTCTTAATTGTCACAATATGAAAATAAGGAGATGTGGTATGATTACCAAAGCAACTACCAACAAAGTTCAAATAAAGTAGATGTAAGCAACTATAGGCAACCGTACGGCCTTCAACAATGAGAAAAACTCATACCTTATAGTCGGCTAAAGTCTATAAAAGTTTCAATAGATTACACAGAAATAATCGAGATGTACTGTCAATACTCCAAAATAAAACATAGATTTATGACAGACTTGTCAAACAACCACTGACTAGGTTCCTGGGCTACGACAGTGAAATTAATATGTGGTAGTGTTAACTTACCTTTAAATTTATGCTAAAGAAAAAAATACAAAACAATAGGAAGTTTTTGTATTATTTCTCCAGCAAAGACTATAATTAACGAGAAATATATAAGAATAAGTTTTACATTAGTGATGTAAGAAGATCTTTTTGGTATACCTTGTGAAATAAAAATTGCTAAGTATATTTTACAGTGTATTCCAAATTTTAAAATGACTTTTTTGGGATTGAATGGATGTGTTGACATAAGCCTCATATAAAAATACATGGGGAATGTGTAAATAAGACACAGATGATGCCCTCGCTTGCATATAACGTTATAAAGGGACATTACTCAAGAACGATAAAAGTAATGCCAACAAAATTTAAACATGATTTGAGTTTTGTGGTAATAAGCATTGTTTATAAGAGTCATAATATTTGGTTGAGGCAAACTTAAATGAGAGAACGGAAGCGAAAAATTCAGCAATTTTTCCATTTGTAAAGATGCATATCTCTAGAACGGTAAAAGTGATGCTATCAAAATTCAAACTTGATCTGTGTTTTGTGGTAATAAGCATTGTGTATAAGAGTCATAACATTTGCTTAAGACAAACTTAAGTCAGAGAACGGAAACGAAAAATTCAGCAATTTTTCCAATTGTAAAGGGCATAACTCTTGAAAGGTAAAAGCACGCCACCCAAATTCAAACTTGATCTTTGTTTTGTGGTAATAAGCATAGTGTATATAAGTTTCATCACATTTGGTTGAGGCAAACTAAAGTTAGAGAACGGAAACCAATTTTGGGATGTACGAACGGACGTACGGACGAACGTACAAACGGACAAGGGTAAAACTTTATGCTCCCTCCGCTACTGCGGGGTCATAAAAAATACAAATGTATACACATATTTTTATCATAACACTATATGCTGTGTTATTAAATTTTGGATTTTCATTGAAATGCAAAACAAATGGATATTTCTTAAAGATTATCATATCTTTACAAAAACTGATCACAATTTTGACAACAAGAAACAATTTGGAATGTAGTTATACATATATATATATATATATATACAAGTCTAAATTGAAAACAACGTTCAAACCTATGATTGCGTTGGATAAAAACCGCAATTTTTATATGTGTGCATGCAAAATAAATTTCTTGTTAGAGGGGTTTAAATACAGCACAAACAACATTTTCCAAAAGACCAAAAAAGTGAAAAAGTATATTTTAACAAAACGCATTTGACTAACAGGTCGAACAACAAATGTTCTTAGACCCTGCTGACTGCCATTGGCGATTGCCAAATAAACGGATCACCGATGCAATAAAGGATCTCAATTTTAAATTTAATACTAAACAGAAAACAATAAACTTGCGGAAAGGTGGTATACCGCAAACAAAAGGGGCAAAGGTTTTTGTATACCATATCCGGATTTCGACAAATAATGTCTCTTCAGTGATGTTAGGAATCGAAACGGTATTTGGAAAGCCCAACAATTTTCCTCAATTTATATATAAGAAAATTAATATAAGATAATGACGGTTTTAATTCATCACTTTTACTAGCGCTTTCACTGCTTTCACAGATCTTCAGGTAATGTGACTTGTATACATAAATGTTATAAAACATAATAATTTATAACATTTATGTATACAAGTCACATTACCTGACGATCTGTGAAAGCAGTGAAAGCGCTAGTAAAAGTGATGAATTGAAACCGTCATTATCTTATATTAATTTTCTTATATGTTACAAGCATACGGATTCTATTTGACTTTTCTTTATATATATATATATATATTTGAAATCCAAACACAAAAAGACGTTTATCCAAATTTGCATTTTTTTTTTCTCTCACGGAAACTAACTGTTTACTCAATATCGATTAATAATCTAAAATAGCACATTATACCTAAATATCAAATTTTAAATCCTAACATAAACAGACAATTCCCAAAATTTTGGATTTTTTAATAAAAAGGTAGTTTTTATACCACTCTTTTATAATTTTTGGTACCTTCGACCACTCTAGAATAATATATTACACCTATACATTATTGTTTCATCTTAGCATTAGACATGTTAGAAGACAGAAATTTATCCCGTACTTTATATAATAAGAAAAACAAAACATTTTTTGACACCTGGAAACATTCTTGAATAGCATATTATACATATATTTTTGATGTATATCAAATTTTCTTGAAATCCAACAACAAAAAGATATAGCAAAACACTTATGATTTGTAAATTTTGAATGAATATTGTAACTAATATTGAACATTTCATTAAATTTCATCCCCTTATTTCAATTAAAAAAAAAAATTGATATTGGGAAACAAATTTGAATAGCATACTATGTTACTAAATGAAATTCCAGCACAAGCAGATGTTTCTAAAAGATTTTTGTCAACAAAAGACAAGTTTTTATCCCTCTTAAATTCACAAATGATAAGGTTATTTGCTTTTATAGATATTAACACTTTGCTTAATTTTTTTTTAAAAATCTGTTGAGACCATCTTGACGTTTTGTAGGATATAGAAGTTTTGACGGACAGACAAACATTGTGATCATTATAGGGCACCCGCAAACTATTCAACAGGGCCCTGCAATTCGTTGGTGTATTGAAAGGTCTTGACATTACGATTAAGAATATATACTGTTTAGTGTTTAGTGGTGGGCATATGAATCATTATACAATATTTCTCTATAAATATTATAAAATGGCAAAATCAAAAGCTCAAACACATTTAACGAATGGAAAACAACTGTCATACTCCTGACATGGTACAGGCATTTCCTTATGTAGAAAATGGTTTTATAGCTAGCTAAACCTACTTGTATGACAGTCGCATAGAGTTCTATTATATTGACAACAATGTGTGAGCAAAACAAACAGGCATAATATGAAAAAATGTCAAAATTGGGGTACAGCAGTCAACATTGTAATATGATCTTAATCACTATAAAACAAATAACTGTTTTAACAAAGAAACACAAAATGGCCTATTGACAAAGTACATAATCAAAAATGAAAGACAAGAACTCTCTCAAGACATCTCGTCCCGAACATGCACGAAACATATGTCACGTGCCATTAAGCAAGAAACAATCAATCAAACCTGCCCGAGAATCCAAAATCAGGTAAAATCGATAGCCAGGGGCCTGATATTTAGTCGAGAGATGGTAATCATATGGAAATGATGTGTCAATAATTTTTCATCATTTATTTTCTACACAGTTTTCTAATCTTCATCACAAAGACATTTATTAAGGTACTAATTCTAACGTAATGGTACTTCAAAGTACACAAGTAGTAATGACATAAACTGTTAAGGTTGTCATCGTCATCGGAAATTGGGTACCACCGAAGCGGAGAAAATGGAAATATACCAGTAAACAATTTTGGAGTATGAAAAAATAATCTTTACTTTGTTTGGTACTGTCTTGTTGTCTTACAGAAATAAAACATTATATATAAGAAAAGCATTTCATAAGAGTTAACCTCATCAAATCGATAGAAATGGTTTAATTCGTTTGATGTGTTTGAGCTTTTGATTTTGCCATTTGATAAGGGACTTTCCTTTTGAATTTTCCTTGGAGTTCGGTATTTTTGTTATATTACTTTTTAAATGATATAAATGTTTACCTTATTATTTTTTTTGTCATTTCTCTCCTCTTCGGTGGTACCCAATTTCCAGTGGCGATGATAACATGTGGCCATCCTTTAAATATATTACTTACATCACATCATTTCTTGAGCTTGGACTAATATGGGTGTCAAGTCATCTTTTAAAATTATATTGTCTCGTCATTAGCTGGACATATGTAGAGGATTCCAAACTGGACGAGCTTGTATTACTTTCGTATTAGAGATACGTACAGAAATGTGGTATATTAGGGACAAATACAGGTAAAATGTGTGATAAATGTGTTTATTTAAAAAAAAAGGTAGCAGATACCGGATCAACTACATTAAAGCGGAATCAATGATTCAAAAGTTTTCTGTATAGGACAATACACGTGCAAAACGAAGCAAAGGAAAAAAGTATATAAAATACCGAACTCCAAGGCAAATTCAAGAGGTGGATTCCATAAAAACTGATGAAATCCAACGATATTAACCAACGGAACTAGTGGAAAACAACTGAAGCGATACGGATGTACAGTCAAACAAAGTTGTGGTACGAGTGAACGAAAAAAAAAGGCGTAATCAAACAAAGAACGTTTCAAAGTGAACCATTGGGCAATACGAAAAATCATATTGACCTTTATACCTTCAACTAAAATACCACGTCCCGTTGTAATCTCTCCATCGATTGGAATCTTTTCCATAGACCTCTATCAGACTTGTTTTGAAGACATACTCTAATTGATACGAGTATTGAACTACTTATTAAAAATTCTCGATACATGCATACTAATAACAGGTCTATTGTAACACTTTTAAGGAGTCTGTTCAAATACGGTTTATATCTTTTTTTGTAGCTCCTGCATTGTGGCCAAGAGAATATAGATCATGTGGTGGTCGGCGTCAATCCCCTATCAACATACAAACTAATCAAGTAGTGGTGAATCAACGATTGGGCAGATTTGACCTGAGCGACCTGAATATGATCAACAATATTATGTTGACATTAAAAAATAATGGACACACAGGTATATTGATGAAAAAATTGTCTTAATATTTACAGTAAAAAAAAATGTTTCATCACAAATGTTCTTAAATCTATCAAAATAATAATAACAAGTCAGAATGGTCATTGTTGTCTATTTGAAGCTCAAGTTACAACGGATAACGGTGTACTCTTGTTGTTTATTTGAAGCTCAAGTTACAACGGATAACGGGGTACTATTGTTGTTGATTTGAAGCTCAAGTTACAACGTAATACGGTGTACTCTTGGTCGTTTGCCTAAACATCTCCAACTATGTACAAGACTCAGCAAACAATTCAAACATTTCATACAAATTAACGGATAACCCTAATGTCTATTAATGACATGAGATGTGGAAAATAGTAATTATGCCAACAAAAAGTCTACGATAAAATTAAAAAACGGCGCCGAATTCCGCGACGACTTTCCTACTCCGACACATGCACATTCCTAAAGGACGGGATAATGTTTCTTTCCGCCAAGTAACACAACTATCTAATCTAACTTATCTTTAAACCCCCTTTGAAGAGAAAGCATATTTTCATATGTGGAACAGTTACACTATGTATATACAGTGCTGGTACACCCTCCTTCATATTTTCACGTCCAGAACGGTTTCTATCTTTATGTACAGTGTTGTTACTCCCCCCACCATTCGACATCAGTTATGCATATATTTACAGTGAAGTCCTACCCAAACACAATTTGAGTAAGATTCTTTATCATACAGGTTATGAAGGCTTGGTTCCGCCAACCACGCCATCCTTAATGTTAAGATAACTATATCGTTAATAATAACAATTAGTTAGAAAATCTTTAAACAGTTGCAAAAAGTAAAATAACAAAAATACCGAACATCTAGGAAAATTCAAATCGGAAAGTCTCTTAACAAATGGCAATATCAAAAGCTAAAACACATCAAACGAATGGAAAACAACTGTCATATTCCTGACTTGGTACAGGCATTTCCTTATGTAGAAAATGTTGGATTAAACCTGGTTTCATAGCTATCTAAACCTATCACTTGAATTACAGTCGAATAAAATTCCTTTATATTGACAACAATGTGTGAGTAAAACAAACAGATATGATAGGTAAAAATGTCAAAAATTGGGGTACAGCAGTCAACATTGTGTTATAATCTTTTTCACTATAAAACAAACAATTATGTCAACAACAAAAAAACAAAATGACATGTAGATACTCTATAGACAAAGCACATAAGCAAACATGAAAGACAAGAATACAAAAAATGACCATAGCACAACAACACAATAGCGGGATGTATAAATACCGAGCCATGCCAAAAGCAAGTTATTGTGAGAAACAGAAATCGAAATTTTGAAGCCTTATTTTTTATGATCTTTAGAAACATTATGTCTGAAGGTCGGTAATTCTAAATCACTAAATGGCTGTACTATTGACAACATACAGACCAATAAGAGGAACGAATTCGTAGTAGAGGTTTTGTTTCTCAATTATCTCTCTTACATAGTATATTTCATTTAGTTGAAGTTGACGTGGAAGGAAGAAACAACTTAGTAGTTACTGGTGGAGGACTCCTTGGTCCTTATCTTGTAAAACAGTTTCATTTCCATTGGGGATCACAGGACAGTCGTGGATCGGAGCATGACATGAATGGACGATTCTTCCCTATGGAGGTAATGGCAACAGTATATAACCCCTCAATAAAATGGAAAAAAATAAGATATCGACATATTTATACTTGTAAATAGTAGAAACCATGGACACAATTTCAGTTTTGTCATTACACAACATTTTCGTAATCATTCTGAAACAATAGTGGTATGGAAGATAAGCATGCATATAAATTTTTAGACAGTTACAGAAGTTCATCGATGTTCTAATCTCATAAATCGAGTAAGAAGACAAACCAAGGTAAAACAAAAATTGAAGGGATCGCATGAACTCCAAAAGGAGCAAGACAGGATGCGTCGACAGGGTAAACATCAAAATTTTCTTAATATACGTGCAGCAATCGCCATGCAAATCCAATCCACTCAAGTCAATAAGGCACAACCAGGAATAGGACACAAGACAGGGTGCGTCGACAGGGTAAACATCTCCTGATATGCGTGCATCAATAGCCATACAAATCCAATCCACTCAAGTCAACAAGTCACAACCAGGAATAGGACACAAGACAGGGTATGTCGACAGGGTAAACATCTCCTGATATGCGTGTATCAATCGCCATGCAAATCCAATTCACTCAAGTCAACAAGTCACAACCAGGAATAGGACACAAGACAGGATGTGTCGACAGGGTAAACATCTCCTGATATTCGTGCATCAATCGCCATGCAAATCCAATCCACTCAAGTCAACAAGTAACAACCAGGAATAGGACACAAGACAGGATGTGTCGACAAAGTAAACTTCTCCTGATATACGTGCATCAACCGCCATGCAAATCCAATCCACTCAAGTCAACAAGTCACAACCAGGAACAGGACACAAGACAGGGTGCGTCGACAGGGTAAACATCAAAATTTTCTTAATATACGTGCATCAATCGCCATGCAAATTCAATCCACTCAAGTCAACAAGTCACAACAAGGAATAGGACACAAAACAGGGTGTATCGACAGGGTAAACATCTCCTGATATACGTGCAGCAATCGCCATGCAAATCCAATCCACTCAAGTCAACAAGTAACAACCAGGAATAGGACACAAGACAGGATGTGTCGACAGGGTAAACATCTCCTGATATTCGTGCATCAATCGCCATGCAAATCCAATCCACTCAAGTCAACAAGTAACAACCAGGAATAGGACACAAAACAGGATGTGTCGACAAAGTAAACTTCTCCTGGTATACGTGCATCAACCGCCATGCAAATCCAATCCACTCAAGTCAACAAGTCACAACCAGGAACAGGACACAAGACAGGGTGCGTCGACAGGGCAAACATCAAAATTTTCTTAATATACGTGCATCAATCGCCATGCAAATTCAATCCACTCAAGTCAACAAGTCACAACCAGGAATAAGACACAAGACAGTAATCAAAACCAAACTATGCTTACATTTTTTACAATTCTTTTAAAATCAACTTAATAAATATGAAGTAGGAAGAGAAAGCAAAAGTCACATTGAATTCTTATAGTATCCGTCGTTAAAAACTATTGTTTTTTTCTCAATAAATGTAAACCCTTGTAAAGATTCAATGTTTAATGAAGTATAAAAGAATTTTTTTTGTTTTCTGAAAATACAAAAATGTATAAAAGGATAGTAAAATGTTTTGCAATTAAACAACACTATAAATATTTTCTCATAACTTTTATTATTTTTGTGAATCTAGATGCATGTTGTGACCTACTCACAGAGATACAGAATGTTTGAAGAAGCTGAAAATGCAACAGGAGGCCTCGCTGTACTGTCGTTTCTATTTGACGTACGTATATTGTAGGCATAAGATACTAGCCATATAAAATAGTCAAGTCTTCGAGGAAAATTTGAAATGTAGCTGTACATATACACTTTTCTATTTACAACTATAATTCAACAGCGCTTGTAATTGACTTGTGCAATAATCTACGCACAATAACATATTTTTAATAATGTGTTATAACATCATCATTCTCTTTTTTACCATTGTTTACAGTCAATAATTTTTAAATCAATAGCAAGCAAATTCTATGTTTCGTATACATATATAATATGTACTCATCTCCTTTGGAAATCCTTATTTTTTTTCTTTGTGACGATCGGAATTTTTTAATGTGAGAAAGTTGCTGTATGGAAACATTCTGGGTAGCAACATTTGGTTTCGATTCAAATAATAGAAAATTTTCAATGAAAGCATACTATTTTTCCACTTTCTTCTGAAGCAAATTACTTTCTTTTTCGAGCAATTCGGAATCAAATAATATTTTTGAAAAAAAAATCTACCCCTCGCCCCCTCACAAAAGATGAATGATCGATGCATCAAGGGTACATGTACAATGGATTAAATTGACGTGTCAGTTGATATGCATTTGTAAATGTTTAGAACGAAAAATCGGGGTTTCTTAAATTCAAATTTCTGCAGAAAAAATTCTGAAAAGGAAGAAAATATTGATTTACAAAGCCATTTGCTAAAACAAAAATTGTATTTATTAAAATATTGAAAAATAAATGGTCTTCTGCCAAACTTCGGTTAGAATTGAACTCAGTAATTGAAAAATACCCAAATGTAAATAGAAATATACTCTCAATCTTTCAGCATATAATTTAGTCGTTTTTGATTTCATTAACTTCGTTTTGCCAAACAGAAAGATCCAAAGTGTGACAAAAGTATATTACAATTATTTATTGATATTCTTCAACTTTTTAAAGTGCCATTCTTTGTAAGAATTAGTCAATTTAAAAGAATTTCAAAACATGACCGAAAAAAAAACTCGCCGACCTAACATTCCTATTTTGAAGTTACCCTCATCATGATTTAGAAATGGTAGGTCTTTTGTTTTTGCGTGTCTGTAAATTCGAGAAATCTCTAAATAACTTTTGGTTAGAATGAAAGAGCAAATTACAGAGTAAGCTCCCCTTATTTTGTAATTTCTTTTGTATTTCAACAAAATTATATCTTGAAATACCAGAACAAGAAAAGGAAACGACTGTTATATATATTACATTTTGAACTTAAGTTAATGTAAACGTGACTTGAGTGGGTTTTTGTTTGTCATGATTTCACCACTGCCTGATTTTTAGGTAGATTGGCACTTAATAGATTTTGTTTGCCGGATTCTCAAGCATGCCTGATGTCGATTATTCAAGAAACACGAGTCATGCGCGCGCAAAGTAACCAAAATTCAAAAAGTCCGTTTTTATTTCATTTGTATAATTGAATAACGCTTCAATAGTAATAAAGAGCAATAGTTTAAATGTCATTTCATAAAGTCATTACCAGTTGTTTTTTAGGAAATTTAAATTAATTTATGAAATTTCACTTTATAATACCAGTTTTATAAGTTAATACGAGAGTGACGTTCAATTCTTACACATGGCTTTGTGAGCGACAATTCTAAAATGATTCATAAAATGATTTTAAATTTAAAAGTAAATGATAACAGTTCATTTAGTGTAATAAATTAAATAAAACATGTCTGAGTGGATGCTATAGCAGATTGTACTTTAAAAAAAGTTGTCAAGTTGGGCTTTGCCTTGGTTGACCCTGTTTTCTCGGGGTGACAATCTCTTTCAGCTAAATGCATGAGTTATTTATAAAATTGTAATTGTTGATTAAATCAAAGACCTACTGATACTAATGCCATTTTCATGTCACGCTTATATGTTTCACGAAGACATAATGTGACCTAATGCTAATAGAAATCCCTAATATTTAATATAACAATTCTATTTAAGATTGGTCCTGATAATCCTGAATTTGACGAAATAATTTCTCGTATGAACGAAGTACAACACAAAGGTAATATTAACCTTCGAGCATTACAGTAGATTTTAATAAAAATGAACAATCACTGAGTGTATCATTTAGTCGAGAAAAAAAAAATCTTTTGAGGTTGGAAAAAGTTATGTAATAGTTATACACCGAGGGATAGGTGTGTCTGGATAAGAAACCCCGTCGGCCGGAGGGGTTTCTTATCCAGACACACCGTTTCCCGAGTTGTATAACTAACTTACACCCCATTCTAAACCCTATATTTGTTAACATTGATTATTAAATGAAAAAAAAGACGATAGCATTTTTATTGATAATATCAAACCATGGTTTATAAGAATATTTTTTTTGTTACATGAAACCCCACTAGTAACCTTTCTTTGGTTATCTTCGTTCACACTTTGACAAGTGAGTATATTTCACAAATGTCAAGTTGTTTTGCATATTCCCGTTAAATCCATGTGCTAATATGGATCAGCAGGTCAAGGTTGACTGTTTCGTGTATTCTTATTACAAACAAAAAAATATGTCATGCTCCTGGTATACAGTTGTCAATATGGACGGGTATAAGAAGGAAGACATTTTGTGGCAAGCGTTGGATTTGGTAGAAGAGACTAAAGATAAAGGCAATATTATACTAGTAACCCAAAGTACTTACCTGTATCAGTCTAGTAAAGGTAATCATAACTGTATTTTATATCCTATGATTTTATCAAAAACAAAAGCCCGGGCCCTCCCTCATCTCGAAAATAAACAAACATTCATATTGGAACATACTAAGGAATATGTGTGTCTGCATTAGAAACCCGACTACAAGACACGCTAAACATACAATATTTAAAATTGAGGAACTTCCTTTTTTGAGGGGCAATCAGGGGCTGATCCAGCCGGGGGTTCCCAACTCAAGAGAAAAGGGGGGGGGTCCAACCCTTCAAATGCATCTTTTAAATAAAAGTCGGGTCCAACCCGCGGAACCCCCAACCCCGGATCGGCCACTGTGTAACGGGGGAGGGGGGTCCGGGAGTTAGAATCCCAATTTTTTTTAAAAGATCAATGCTTTAGAATAGAGACATATGACTGGGATAAAAAAAATTACCTTCAAGCAAAAAAGTTTTTAAAGGATTAGTTTTGTACGTATTCCATATAGATGCTTATTGGAATTTCCTAGAATGTGTTTTTTTAATATCATGAAACAATTTGTAGTGAACACTATTAGTAATTTCTTATGTTCATAATCAATTTCTATTGTTACGAATAACAATGGACTTTGTTAGCGGGATGTAGAAGCAGGGGATTCCAGAAACCCCGCTCGTCACACCCTGTGGTCAAAATCCATTGTTATTCGTAACAATAGATCTATTCAATTTACACTTGTTTCAGAAATAGAAACTATGAAGTATAATAATAGAACTGGGGTGTAACAATCTTGACCTTTCCGAACCACGCAATGACAATTGATCTCCATCAAATACTTGGCATGCATATCTTAAAAAATATACTAGTTATACTAAAATTAAGAATAACTATATGTCATATCATAGCAAGCTATACTCAACGATAGTATTAGAAGAACACAGATATATTAGATATTTTGACGTACGGCCAGCTGTTTATTATATTTTGATGAAAATGAATAGAATGTATCCTTGTGTGAGGCAAGTATATTCTGAAAAAAAAGTCAGAACACTATCCTTGAGTATATTCTGAAAAAAAGTCAGGACTCTATCCTTGTATGAAACAAGTTTATTCTGACAAAAAGTCAGAACACTATCCTTGTATGAAACAAGTTTATTCTGACAAAAAGTCTGGACACTATCCTTGTATGAAACACGCATATTCTGACAAAAAGTCAGGACACTTTCCTTGTATGAATCAAGTATGTTCTGATAAAACGTCAGGACACTATCCTTGTATGAAACAAGTATGTTCTGACAAAATGTCAGGACACTATCCTTGTATGAAACAATTATATTCTGACAAAAAGTAAGGACACTATCCTTGAGTATATTCTGAAAAAGTCAGGACACTATCCTTGTATGAAACAAGTTTAATCTGACAAAAAGTCAGGACACTATCCTTGTATGAAACAAGTATATTCTGACAAAAAGTTAGGACACTTTCCTTGTATGTATATTTTGACAAAAAGTCAGGACTCTATCCTTGTATGAAACAAGTATATTTTGACAAAAAGTCAGGACACTATCCTTGTAAGAAACAAGTATGTTCTGACAAAAAGTCAGGGCACTCACGTTTGTTCTTATGTTTTTTTTTCTGTTCTACCACTTTTCTTATATATATATATAGATTAAGGACAATGTCATTGTTCATCGCCCAGAAATATCTTCAAATCCGAGATATTTTTATGTGTCTGTCCCATGTCAGGAGCCTGCTAGTAAGTGGTTGTCGTTGATACAAGTTAGGAATCTGGTAGTAAGTGATTGTCGTTGATTCAAGTCAGGAGTCTGTTAGTAAGTGATTGTCGTTGATACAAGTCAGGAGCCTGTTAGTAAGTGATTGTCGTTAATACAAGTCAGGAGCCTGTTAGTAAGTGGTTGTCGTTAATACAAGTCAGGAGCCTGTTAGTAAGTGGTTGTCGTTGATTCAAGTCAGGAGTCTGTTAGTAAGTGATTGTCGTTGATACAAGTCAGGAGCCTGTTAGTAAGTGATTGTCGTTAATACAAGTCAGGAGCCTGTTAGTAAGTGGTTGTCGTTAGTACAAGTCAAGAGTCTGTTAGTAAGTGGTTGTCGTTAATACAAGTCAGGAGTCTGCTAGTAAGTGGTTGTCGTTAATACAAGTCAGGAGCCTGCTAGTAAGTGGTTGTCGTTAATACAAGTCAGGAGCCTGCTAGTAAGTGGTTGTCGTTAATACAAGTCAGGAGCCTGTTAGTAAGTGGTTGTCGTTAATACAAGTCAGGAGCCTGCTAGTAAGTGGTTGTCGTTAATACAAGTCAGGAGCCTGTTAGTAAGTGGTTGTCGTTAATACAAGTCAGGAGCCTGTTAGTAAGTGGTTGTCGTTAATACAAGTCAGGAGCCTGTTAGCAAGTGGTTGTCGTTAATACAAGTCAGGAGCCTGTTAGCAAGTGGTTGTCGTTAATACAAGTCAGGAGCCTGCTAGTAAGTGGTTGTCGTTAATACAAGTCAGGAGCCTGCTAGTAAGTGGTTGTCGTTAATACAAGTCAGGAGCCTGTTAGTAAGTGGTTGTCGTTAATACAAGTCAGGAGCCTGCTAGTAAGTGGTTGTCGTTAATACAAGTCAGGAGCCTGTTAGTAAGTGGTTGTCGTTGATTACTTTATGTGTCTGGCCCAAGTTTGGAATCTGTTAGTAAGTGGTTGTCGTTGATTATTTTATGTGTCTGATTTAGTCAGGGACCTGTTAGTTAGAGGTTGTCGTTGATATGTTTATGTGTCTGTCCCAAGTCAGGAGTCTGTTAGTAAGTGGTTGTCGTTGATTATTTTATGTGTCTGATTTAGTCAGGGACCTGTTAGTTAGAGGTTGTCGTTGATTATTTTATGTGTCTAGCCCAAGTCAGGAGTCTGTTAGTAAGTGGTTGTCGTTGATTACTTGATGTGCCTGTCCCAAGACAGGAGTCTGTTAGTAAGTGGTTGTCGTTGATTTTTTATGTGTCTGGACCAAGTCAGGAGCCTGTTAGTAAGTGGTTGTCGTTGATTATTTTATGTGTCTGGCCAAAGTCAGGAGTCTGTTAGTTAGAGGTTGTCGTTGATTACTTTATGTGTCTGTCCCAAGACAGGAGTCTGTTAGTAAGTGGTTGTCGTTGATTATTTTATGTGTCTGTCCCAAGACAGGAGTCTGTTAGTAAGTGGTTGTCGTTGATTATTTTATGTGTCTGGCCAAAGTCAGGAGTCTGTTAGTAAGTGGTTGTCGTTGATTATTTTATGTGTCTGGCCAAAGTCAGGAGTCTGTTAGTAAGTGGTTGTCGTTGATTATTTTATGTGTCTGGCCCAAGTCAGGAGTCTGTTAGTAAGTGGTTGTCGTTGATTATTTTATGTGTCTGGCCCAAGTCAGGAGTCTGTTAGTAAGTGGTTGTCGTTGATTATTTTATGTGTCTGTCCCAAGACAGGAGTCTGTTAGTAAGTGGTTGTCGTTGATTATTTTATGTGTCTGTCCCAAGACAGGAGTCTGTTAGTAAGTGGTTGTCGTTGATTATTTTATGTGTCTGTCCCAAGACAGGAGTCTGTTAGTAAGTAGTTGTCGTTGATTATTTTATGTGTCTGTCCCAAGACAGGAGTCTGTTAGTAAGTGGTTGTCGTTGATTATTTTATGTGTCTGTCCCAAGTCAGGAGTCTGTTAGTAAGTGGTTGTCGTTGATTATTTTATGTGTCTGTCCCAAGTCAGGAGTCTGTTAGTAAGTGGTTGTCGTTGATTATTTTATGTGTCTGTCCCAAGACAGGAGTCTGTTAGTAAGTGGTTGTCGTTGATTATTTTATGTGTCTGGCCAAAGTCAGGAGTCTGTTAGTAAATGGTTGTCGTTGATTATTTTATGTGTCTGGCCCAAGTCAGGAGTCTGTTAGTAAGTGGTTGTCGTTGATTATTTTATGTGTCTGTCCCAAGACAGGAGTCTGTTAGTAAGTGGTTGTCGTTGATTATTTTATGTGTCTGTCCCAAGTCAGGAGTCTGTTAGTAAGTGGTTGTCGTTGATTATTTTATGTGTCTGTCCCAAGTCAGGAGTCTGTTAGTAAGTGGTTGTCGTTGATTATTTTATGTGTCTAGCCAAAGTCAGGAGTCTGTTAGTAAGTGGTTGTCGTTGATTATTTTATGTGTCTGTCCCAAGTCAGGAGTCTGTTAGTAAGTGGTTGTCGTTGATTATTTTATGTGTCTGTCCCAAGTCAGGAGCCTGTTAGTAAGTGGTTGTCGTTGATTACTTTATGTGTCTGGCCCAAGTCAGGAGTCTGTTAGTAAGTGGTTGTCGTTGATTACTTTATGTGTCTAGCCAAAGTCAGAAGTCTGTTAGTAAATGGTTGTCGTTGATTATTTTATGTGTCTGTCCCAAGTCAGGAGCCTGTTAGTAAGTGGTTGTCGTTGATTACTTTATGTGTCTGGTCAAAGTCAGGAGTCTGTTAGTAAGTGGTTGTCGTTGATTATTTTATGTGTCTGTCCCAAGTCAGGAGTCTGTTAGTAAGTGGTTGTCGTTGATTATTTTATGTGTCTGTCCCAAGACAGGAGTCTGTTAGTAAGTGGTTGTCGTTGATTATTTTATGTGTCTGTCCCAAGACAGGAGTCTGTTAGTAAGTGGTTGTCGTTGATTATTTTATGTGTCTGTCCCAAGACAGGAGTCTGTTAGTAAGTGGTTGTCGTTGATTACTTTATGTGTCTGTCCCAAGACAGGAGTCTGTTAGTAAGTGGTTGTCGTTGATTATTTTATGTGTCTGTCCCAAGACAGGAGTCTGTTAGTAAGTGGTTGTCGTTGATTATTTTATGTGTCTGTCCCAAGTCAGGAGTCTGTTAGTAAGTGGTTGTCGTTGATTATTTTATGTGTCTGTCCCAAGACAGGAGTCTGTTAGTAAGTGGTTGTCGTTGATTATTTTATGTGTCTGTCCCAAGACAGGAGTCTGTTAGTAAGTGGTTGTCGTTGATTATTTTATGTGTCTGTCCCAAGACAGGAGTCTGTTAGTAAGTGGTTGTCGTTGATTACTTTATGTGTCTGTCCCAAGACAGGAGTCTGTTAGTAAGTGGTTGTCGTTGATTACTTTATGTGTCTGGCCAAAGTCAGGAGTCTGTTAGTAAGTGGTTGTCGTTGATTACTTTATGTGTCTGGCCCAAGTCAGGAGCCTGTTAGTAAGTGGTTGTCGTTGATTACTTTATGTGTCTAGCCAAAGTCAGAAGTCTGTTAGTAAATGGTTGTCGTTGATTATTTTATGTGTCTGTCCCAAGTCAGGAGCCTGTTAGTAAGTGGTTGTCGTTGATTACTTTATGTGTCTGGCCCAAGACAGGAGTCTGTTAGTAAGTGGTTGTCGTTGATTACTTTATGTGTCTGGCCCAAGTCAGGAGTCTGTTAGTAAGTGGTTGTCGTTGATTACTATTTGATTTTGGTTTATTGGTGAAGCATAAATGAGGCTGCTGGTTTTCTTATTTGAAATATTTCACATTTTATCATGTCGGTGTCTTCTATGTATTACTATATACGGTACTGTATGGGTTTTACCGAATGCCATACAGACTGAATTTTCTCTATACAGACCAAGTTGTCGTTAATTTATGTCTTCAAGTAGATCATATTATACAATAGCAATGGTCTGTAGGAGATCCTGGTTGACTCTATAGTCTGTCCGAGTTGTCTCGATAGACGGTCTGAGTTCTCTTCAGACCGCGTTTTGCTGTACTCAAGCATGACTGGTTTTCGTCATTTCATGCGCACGGATGAGCAAATAGACTCCATATAATTTGAAAAGACTTGAGGTTATTTCAATTTATTTTTGTGATAACCGTCGAAAGATTTAACCAGTAGTATTTAAAATGTACATGTATTAAAGCTATTGACAAGATATTTACTTGCCTAGCAACGAAAATAGCATCGAAATAGATTATTCAAGCGCTCCTTGCGCTAGGGTAAAAATGTGTCACTGATGACAATGGGTATGCTCCATTAGTCGTAGCTACAATAGCGTCCTCTTTCCTTCGTTTATAACATCACCAAAATGAGTGTTTTCGTTGTAAATATAACGGAATTTGATGAGACTGTCGTACAAGTGAGAGGTTTAGCGCTATAAAACCAGGTTCAATCCAACACTTTCTACATTTGAAAATGCCTGTACCAAGTCAGGAATATGACAGTTGTTGTCCATTCGTTTGATGTGTTTTGTCTTTTGATTTTGCCATGTGATTAGAGACTTTCCGATTGAATTTTCCTCGGAGTTCAGTATTTTTGTGATTTTACTTTTCACCGAATGTTTGGTTGTAATTAGCAACACGATGCTAGTAACAGAATCTTCCCCTTTCGGAGCAATTGAGTTTACTACTATTTTGATTTAGGTTTCTATGACGGTTGTTGTGATGTGTAAGTCAATGTCTGTGTTGTTTTGATCATTTAGTCGTACATATTCTTTGTCCTGTTTATCTATTATATTTTAATTTCACTGTTTAAAATATACCGGATTTAAACATAAGCAACGTTACGGGTTTCACCAGTGGAGCAGGCAATGCTGACTCCTAAAAATGCCTGACCACATAAGTTCTACAATGTTTTTATTCATGTTTCGTGTTTATTGCTACTTTGGTTTATCTTATCTGTTGTTCTATTTTTCGGATATTTACTTGTGATATTGTGAGTACACAATTTTATACAAAAAGCTTCAATAAATATTTACATCTTTGTTTTCAGACGACCATGTAGAAATTCAAGCGTTTCCTTTAAGATCCCTGTTTCCGCGTTCCACTGATGTATTTTATAGATATTACGGTGGAATGACAACGCCTCCATGTTATGAGAGTGTAATCTGGACAATTTTTCAGGAACATATTCGAATTTCTGAAAGACAGGTGATTGTTAGTTAACAGTTATATATATACTATCATGCTAAAAATCTTAATATAAATCATCAGGTAAATTACTAAAACATAGGCACAGAAAACTAAAAATAATTCAACAAAAAGTTCATGCTTGATACCAATACAAAATGACATTATGCCGATTTTATTTGGGTCTCAATATGCATATTTCGAAATTTTTCTTTCCTCAATTGTGATCGAAAATATACATAAGAATTCCAAAAATATCAAAAGCTGATGAACAATAAACAAAATATGATATCCGAAAAGAACAACTCGAGAACCCGCTAATGATCACATGTGTATCAGTGATATCCTTAGTATTTAATAAATTTTGTTACTTTTAAGTGAACTGAATATCCCCTTAGTATTATAATCAAAACTTTTCACACTAGACTATATACAAAATTACTGGTTACCGGACTAATGGTACCATTAAAGACGTGTAGTCCATTAGCATTGGCACGTGACAACGATACAAAAGTACTGACTACTGGACTAATTGTACCATTGTAGACGTGTAGTACATTAGCATTGACACGTGACAACAATACAAAAGTACTGACTACTGGACTAATTGTACCATTGTAGACGTGTAGTACATTAGCATTGACACGTGACAACAATACAAAAGTACTGACTACTGGACTAATGGTACCACTGTAGACGTGTAGTACATTAGCATTGACACGTGACAACAATACAAAAGTACTGACTACTGGACTAATTGTACCATTGTAGACGTGTAGTACATTAGCATTGACACGTGACAACAATACAAAAGTACTGACTACTGGAATAATGATACCATTGTAGACGTGTAGTACATTAGCATCGACACGTGACAACAATACAAAATTACAAGATACCCAATCCCAATTTGATTCAATGCACCATATGCATTTTTCAAAAATATTTGTTTCATTATTGGTACCGGAAACATAAAGGAAACAAGAAAGTATCAAACGTTTGGAGCAACCAACCAAAAAATGACCTTCAACTATATTCACGTAATCCAATACCTTCAAACTGTATATACACATCGGTCCATTACAAAATTAACTTCGAATTATTAAGTTATATTGATTTGCAAACATCACAGAGTTTGCTCTTGAATAACAAGAATATAAGTTTAAGGACTATAAAGCGCTCTCCAATGTGCATGAATTTGCCACTATGCTTTTCGTTTCCTAAAATGCTAGCGTGACGACTGTTCATATATCTCAGTACAATATATATATAACATACATGAATTTTGTTCTTCTTGTATGATTTAGGCTGCAAACATTGTAAACTATTTTATATGAATAAAATAAGATGTGAGATAAACGTGAATTGGACAGTAAACCAACGACATATGAAAACAAAACATTAATTAATATGCATATGCCCATACAGTATGTTTGCTTACATGTAACACGGCTTTAATCCACCAGACTTCAACGTTTTTACAATTTACGTGAAAAGACAAAGGGAAAGTTACTTCATACTTATTAATGGAGACCTGTATATTTGACAAATAAGTGATTGGAAGCTGTGGAACTGTCATTATGCCGAATTGGGTTAAACCAGTTGAAACACATCGTTCTATGCAAGTTTAACCTGTCATGCAATTCAGAACCATTGTCAACTAACAACAAAAGGGGGAAAGATTACCACGAAAAAAAACTATGCTGCAAGTGACATGAATACGAAGATAAATCCTTAGTCTGAATGGACTTTATTTGACAGTAATGATACAGAACTTTACTTGACAGTAATATACAGGACTTTACTTGACAGTAATGATACAGGACTTTACTTGACAGTATTGATACAGGACTTTACTTGACAGTAATCATACAGGACTTTACTTAACAGAAATGATACAGGACTTTACTTGACAGTAATGATACAGGACTTTACATGACAGTAATCATACAGAACTCTATTCAGCTTATAAATAACACAACAATTAAGTCCCAACGGTGTCTTTTTAAATGTTGATTTCATTCATTGTTTGTCATTTTACATGTTGCAATAGTGACGAGCACTATTCTCAAACTGACCACTACAGGTTAGTGCTGTTAACGGTGCACAATTAGTACTTAATGAAATAACGAGCCTGCTGAATATCACTGAACCCTATGCATGTTCATACGGTGTACTAGCTGCAGAACCGTTTCTTACGGTGTACATGTAAGCAATGTTTGCATACAGAGACGATAATTAGCCGTTAAACTGCGAAAGCGTTACTACTTTCCAAAGCCAGATGGATAAGTGTCAGTATTCGGTCTCTTTTAAAAATTGCAAAATTAGTTTAATTCTTTTATGTTAATTGTATAGACATAGAAAAGGATGATAAAGTGAGGAAAAGTTTGTTGTATGTCACTGTGATTTCATACAAACTTTTTCTCGTTTGACTATAAATGCCATTTTGTACAATTAAATATTCTAAACCAAAAATATGTTAACCCATCATGCTTAAGAAGGACATCTGTATGGTTGTGTGGGACGTACAAATACACAGCCAGGTCAGGATCTGAATGTGGACGTGACTCTGATGTATGGTGTAGTGTAGTGACACGTCTCTGTACGTATATGATAAATTAATCTTGCAGTAAATAACTGAGGAACCGTGATGTGGTCTTTTGCCAAGAAAAAAAAAACCCAAACATAATCTCTTTTCTATCTATAGTCTAATTTCCCGTCATTCATCCTGGTCAAACCGACCTGTTGGACTTGCTGTTAATTTGTTCTCGTCCTGAATATTCATGAACTACTCGCCACTGGACGCTTAACGAAGATCAATAAATCAATATGAATTATTACCAATTAATCAATCACTTAATCTAAACTGTATTTAACTGACAGTTTTGGATACTACATCCTTTATCAAGCTTCATATTTAAATATGAATTAAAATATTTGAGGGGCTTCTTGATTGAAAGGAGTCTGAAGGCCTTGAGTAAATAGTTTATATAAGAAAAATAATAATAACATTCGAGAAACAAATATGGTATGTCATCTTTTAGGTGACACTACAATATCTTTGGATTTTCGAATTCAATTACATTAACGGTACCAATTTTACTGCACCAGAAGCGCATTTCGACAATCAATGTCTCTTCAAAGATGCTCGAGGCCAAAATATTTGAAAATCCAAAATTAAATACAAACTTTGACTAAGGAACCAAAGAAGTTTTCATATCTTTTCCGATAAAATCTCTTGATTTTGTTTATGATATATTTTTTTTTTGCTTATTACTTTACAGTTTGATATGTTCGTTCTATTCTTATTATTTTATAGATAGACCAATTCAGACATCTAGGCGATCGCCATTTTCGTCGTTTCCGAGGACTGTCAGACAACTATCGACCAACGCAGCCTTTAAATGGAAGATATGTTTATACCAATACTCCAATCGGTTATCAATATCGAAGAGAAGGTACATTTGGAAGACCTCTGCAACCCATATCTGCTCCAAACAGACAGTTTGTTAGTATGCCACAGGTAGAGTATTTAATATATTTAAAAAATAATTAATATGACGGGAAATGTTAGTGTGACAGCCACCCAACATTAAATCATTTGATAAAAAAGAAAAGATATGGCGTATCCATCCATGACACATAATCAGTATGTGCACAGCAAAAAACAGAAACAGCAAACTTTTATTGCTAAAAAAATGTTTATTTTAGTTCTGATTTATTGTATTATTAACATTAGAGCTTATGCTCTTAGAGAATTCTTTAATGTTTTCACATAGGTTTCATTGGTTAGCATTTGAAAATTTGAAGTTAAGGTAAGTACTCAGTTGGGATAATGTAGGGTTATCACATGAATATTGGAGAATATTAGTCCTAGTGGATTTTTAATTAAGCATGAGCTTGCAAGTGCAATATATATTTCACGAGATATTATATTCACCAATAGTCATGCAATAACCCTTTTTGGCATTACAAAGCTAACTGTTTAAAGCATATGTTTGTCACTGATAAAGACGATAACTGTAATCTATATCTGTACTAGTGCAATAAAATAGAATATTTCACGCTAAATTTTGGTTACTTTATGTGAGAAATACGATGTTGCTATACAATACTAATACTTGTATAATGCATTGTCAACAAGGTGTTAAGTACCTGCCTTTGTAAGAATCATGCAGAGGGAGATTCATGACATGTCACAAAATTTTTTTTTTTTGACCTTTATCATAAGAACACAGGTAGATGAATAAAATTGTGTTTTTATTTTCCCTGTATAATGTGCGTTGCCATGGTAACAGTCAAAACAACATTTTGCCTGAATAGGTGAAAAAAGTAGCTTTTGAAAATTGAAAATAAGGGTATTTAAAGTCCCATGGAAATAAAGTTAATCATTGAAAACAATAAGGCTTTTTACATTGTTAACAAACAAAACACCTCACTATTTAAATATGTTAAAATTTATAATTTATGTTTTAGTTTGTTTCCATAGCAACCTATAAAAATAAGTTAAAATACTATAATAAAAAAATTCAAAAATCGCTCAATTTTATTTCTGTTTATCTCCTAAGACCAATAATACCATAACATGTCACTGATAAATTTTGAAATAGAACATATCATATACTCATGAAATAAAAAGAAAGTCGTGTGGTTTTTTTTTTTTTTCTTTAAAAATTTATTTTTATTCAAAAATTTTCCATTTTCACAAAAATCCAGATTGCCAAACAGTTGAACAATCAAACATCTTGAACTTAAAAAGCCAAAATCTTCCATTAATATGTGCATTTCTGACACAAGTTTGTTAATTATAAATGAAAATATATGATGTATGAAGATATAATTGTACAGAATGAAAACCAATCACTCCGGGTTTGGTGCACCCCTTTTTGAAAAAAAAAAATCAGTTTTTCAAAATTATAAAATTTATTGAAAAATAAAAAAGGTGGTATTTAATTTTGCTTTCTTGTGAACATTTTGAGCATTTAAGCATACAATTGCTTCAATAGTTGAGGGCAATAATATATACCCCCTCCCCTATTTCTAGATATTAGATTTCTCAGAAGTATGAAAACAAAAGTTAATGGTTACACAAACCTTTGTCTTACCTGAGACTGATGCTGTCAGTGTAAAAGAAGAATGTTGAATTCCATAAAAACATTTCAGTCTACATATAAAAATAAGAAGATGTGGTATAATTCACAATGAGACAACTCTCCACTAGAGACCAAATGACATAGAAATTTAAACAACCATAGATCACCGTACGGCCTTTAACAATGAGCATAACATGTTTATCATGCAGTAAAGCAAAATATAATCATGATAATGAACACATTCAAAAAAATATTTGCTCAGTAGACTCTCACTTTCAAGAAGCTTCAGTCCAAGCTTAGTAAAACTTTCAGAAGGTTTGACATAGCTATCCAAATTTTAAAATCTTTAATCACAGACCAGATTGTCCCTACATGTCAACGCTGAGTTAAAAAAAATATATATATCTATCATGGCCTTTATTTTCAATCTAAATGGGTACGAAGAAGCCTCAATAAAAGTTTCATGAAACTCAATGACAGTTTGAAACAGACTATTGAATCCCTAGACTGTTTGATCTGTTTCTAAATGTTAACATAAAAAAGAAGTCCATTTTCCAGTATAACATGTAAGATATGGGGAAAGTAAAAGAAAATTCTTTAGATCCTTTTTCTTTATAATTAAGAAACTTCTGTTTAAGTTTCATAGAATTCAATAAATATTTGACGAAGCTAGGCATAAAAAATAATACTTGTGTGTCTACTAACATGATTGTGCTGAAAAAATAGGGTCAATAAATATGCAAAGAATTGTATTTTCAAAACGTTTTTGAATGAATTAGTGCTTGTATTTCATGTTTAAAGATAAAAAAAATTATTTTAGGGTTGGCACTAAAATCTAGTGAAGGTAGGAAGAATTAGTGGAAAAAGGTATTTTTGATCAGATCTTATTGTTGTCTTAGAAAGATTATAATCACAGACTAAACATAATTGTTTACAATAATGACTGAATGTAGGACTGCTACGTCTCATTTTTGCGACCTTTTTAGCAGGCATTACAATTAGCAGCTAAGAACGCGGCTCTTATTACACCCGTTTATGCAAATTGAAATTAGAAAATAAAACTTTTTCTTTTGATGCTATTTCATGGTCTTGAAGATTAGCTTCTGTCCAAATTTCATAACAATCCATGTAAAAAAAAAACCTGAATCCAAGACAGTCTGTAAATTGTAACTGTAAAAACTAAGTCCATCTATCAGATATATACTGAAAATGAAAAAATGAAAAACTTTTTCAAAAGTTTGCTCCAGAAATTATCTCTTAATCATTATTAAAAAAGCTCATACCAAAGTTTCTTTAAATTCTATGACGGTTTAACAAAGTAATTGATGTGTAATAAACTAAGTCCATTTATCAGTAAAATACAGAAAAATGGAAATAAACAGTATATCTTGATCATAAACAAGCTTCTGTCCAAATTTCCTAAAATTCCATTTGAGGTTTGACAAAGTTATTGATGTCTAAAAATCCTAAACCACAGACTGAACCTAAATGTCGAGGCCGCCGACGCAATGGACGGAATCTAAGGTAGCTTTGTCCTGCTTTCGCGACATAATTTAATGTCTCAAGCTCCACAAACAAATAAATCCTTAAAGTAAAACAGTCATTCCCTAAACTTATCAATATTGATTCAAATACTGCTGTTTAAAGTCTCATAGTTCTCAGTGTATATAAAGTGCGAATCCAGTTAGTTCATTTTCACTGTTGTATGCGAGTATGTCTATTGTAGAATAAAGGATGATGGGAAAAACTGCGTTTATTTACTTTTTGACAATACAAAATAATAGAATTGAATGTATGTTTTAACAGAATTTCATTAGAATATAACTTTTTAATGTATAATAACAGGATTAAATCCAAAAAAGTGTAATTTAAGCAGCAGAATCCATAATATTGATTACTGAATGCGGTTCATTTTAACTATAGATGCGATGAATTATCACTGTAAGTGCAACCATTTCTGATGTGGAATTTTTGGAAGTGTGATGAATTTTCATTGTCGTTTTATATGATTATTTGACGTACAACAACTGAAAATATTTTTTAAATGACTTTAATATTGATGATATTTACAATTTGAAATGCAAGCTAGTCGTAGATGCTTACTTGAATATACACGGGTATAAACACGTTCATATCATGAATATTCAAATATTGTTGGTGAGTTTGCTATAAGCTTGTTATGGATCCGAAAATTTACTGGAGCAGAACATCCATGAATATAACGTTTTTCTACGACGAATTTTCTTTGAAAAGTTTTATAACTCGCTTAACAAAGCTTTGAACATTTGTCACCCCGTGTCATACATATTTCTACCGTATTGAGTCTTTTGCACAACGAACAGTACAAGAATGTACAACGAACGGTACTAAAGAAAGAAAACAAACTACAAAGAATGAATCGTACAGTGTCAAAATTCTGAGGTTAGTTTTTCAAGTAAATGTCTTCAAATGAAATTAAAACAACGGGTTTCTCATTCGTATTATGTATTTTAACAACAACAAAGCACAAAATAAACGGTCGCATTTAGTGAAAGAGCCAACCAACTATGCTCTATTTGTAGTTTAATCAAGTTTGAGTTACACGTAGTGTTTGTTTCGCTATGTTTACAAGTAATTCACAGACATGTCTATTCAAAATAGTCACATGGTGTTCATGTAATATAAATGATATACAATGCTGCCAGGAGCAGTACACTTTGTTTTCATAAACATTGAATACTTAACTAAACATTTAGTCAATTAGTCTTTGGTGTAAATATAAGAACGATATATCTACCAACATTGCTTCGCGATGTAGCGATGTAGCGATGTAGCGATTAACGTCCGGAATCAACTGTACGGCGGTTATAATACCCTGTGTTATAGAACCATTTAACATGTAACAATAAACTGTTTTCAATATTTCTTTGTATTCTCACAATTGCGTATTGGCTTATAACACCGACGTATATATAAGAAAATCAAGCATATTCAAGATGACTCGACTGTTGCTCGAACTTTCTTTACTGTATAAGATTTATACACAATGGCATGATACATATCAATTATCCAGTCATCCAAGCGTCAATTGTTTGATTAGATGAAAACGTTTCCACTCATTCAATCGTGAAATGAAGGTCGTTTTGTGAATGCTCTTTGTTATCTCAAATGCATCCATTAGAGCTATTTTCCAAACGCTTGTGGTTTAAAGGTTTGGTTGGCTTGCTTGCTTTGTTTGTATAAACGTTTGCTCAATCTTAATTACAATGCTTAGGCAACATTTACACAATCAAGGCCAACCACACATTTTAACTACAAGCATTAGGAAATTAGCTCTAATGACGTTTAATTTATTAGTATGCGATGTAGTTTTAGCTTTGCTTTTCCGGTGACGTGGATTGGCTTTACTGTCCAAGATATATGTATTTAATGATGACGTGTCATAGGAAAG